GACCATCCAATCCTTCCAGCAGGTTCCAGCACATGCCAAGGCATACCAGCTACTTCCATGTCATAAAGGCTTAGTCATGTCTCTTGACCAAGCAATGAGCTGGTGCCCTGACAGTGATTGAAGTGCTGCAGTCGTGCCTTAAAGACTGATGCAACAACCACAGGAATATCTGAGGCATCCTGGCCCCCTCTGCAGCATTCTCTAATCTCTGGCCAGTTGGGATTGCATGTCTATGTTGTGAAGATAGTGGCTTGACCATGAGCTCAAGCAAGGGCAAGTGCATCTGCAGTTTGCTCACTTGCCCATTTGTGTGATCCAATGAAGCTTGCAGGTAGGTCAATATTGATGGGCCCCTTGTCATCTTCACTATCTTCTCTGTCTTCATTGCAATCATCAGGTGGGTGAAGTCCTTCTGCACAATGTTCTCTTGCATGTCTGATATAGTCAAGATGTTGTTCCTCAATTCTGGAGAAGCCATCACAAATGTATTCATTGACCAATTGACCAAAGTGTAGGAATCAGTCCTCCATTATTAGGTGGGAGAAGTACCACCAATGCTGGGTAACACCATATGCATTTACATAGCATTGTTGTATTCTGGCCTGTTGGCCATCATTCTCTATGATGCCCCATCCCTTGTCCCATGAGGAAACAGCAAGGGATACTGCAGCGGCTCATAATGCTGGCTCAGGATGCTGATATATGATGGCTGATCATCCCCTAGAAAATAAATGAGCCAAGTTTCATATGTGAAAGGAGCAACATACCCAGACACCATATCAGGATACTATGTGGATTGACCAATGTTGAATTGTTAGCATGCATGATTGCTGTGAAGTCTCCAGCTGCAGTGAACTCAGGGAGCTCTAGCATAGCCATATCTGGTAAGGAATCATCTTGAAAGTGAAGAAGTTCATGGATGTATGGGTTATGGTGTTCCAATGCTTCTGAGACTGCTGCAAGCCAATCTGGAGATATGTTCATCCTGTGCCCTCTATCTGTTCTCTCCTGCTGATTGTAAAGGAACCAATGGATTGAGTGTGTTGGGTTTGCCACATCTAGCATGTGATGATAGGTGTGACCTGTGAGAACCATCTTGGATGGGGGCTGGAGTCCTTGCACAAAGCCCTCTGTTGTCCTGATTGCAGTCAATGCAAAGAGGCCATTGAGTTTTCAAGACAGGGCAGACAGACAATTGCTTTCCAGAAAGATGTTGTAGGAAGCAGGTAGCAGAGGTAGCCATGGTAACACATATGTCCCATTCTTGCAGCAAAATGTATTTGCCTCGGCACTGAGAATCCAGGGAGAGTCTTGGTGTTAGACATGTGTAAGGGCTCACTCAATAATAGGACTGACCTGAGGAGCATTGCACTGCAGTAAAGACAGACCCTGTTCCACTGTGAGATAGCACACTGCCGGCCAGCTGCAGTGGAGGATTTTGGGAAGAGATGCCACCACAATTCGACCTGTCTGGGTGGTTGGTTCATTTGCTGTGTTCTGCTGCCAGGGAAGTTTTGTAGCAGTATAGGCAGGATGCCCTTGACATGGTTAGTGCCCATGTTATTCTGAGCTTCCAGATGCTGCTGTCTCTGCCAATTTCTATACCTGGCCTGTCGAGCTCTTCTCATAGCTGGATACTGGTGCCACCATTCTTCTGTCATATTCTGTTCTCAATGTTGATGTTGTTCTCACTCTCTTTGGTGCTGAAGAAGGCAGGCTTCTTCTGTCTCCTGTTCTCTTCTTGCATGATGTCTTTGGGCATTGGCCTCTCTTCTATGGATGCTGTGTGCTCCATGTGCTTGAGGAAGGTGCTGTTCATTTTCTAGGGGCATCTCAAGCCAGTCATTGGGAGATGGGAGCTACAAAAGCCTGCCATCTCTATTTGACCTCTCCACAAATATGTCTCAGTGGGCCTCTCTTGCCCTGACCGGTGTGAGGAAATAAACAGGGTACAGTGTGCTCATTCAATGCAAATTCTGAGAGCCAGTTCCACCTCAGACAACCATACAGAAGGCAACTATGTTGATGTGCATCAAAAATGTCTGGTCTGCTTTCTTGGTGAGCCTGTTTCACCATTGCCTTGGTGATCAAGGCTAATCTCTGTTGCAACTTTGATTCCTTCAGCCAGACCATTTTCTTGTCTGGAAGGTATCTGCCCTATTGAGGTGGTTGGTGATCCAGCTGGGAAAGGAGTGTTGATCTGTGAAGCAGAGCGAGACCACCAAAAGGCTGATTTCAATGGTGTAGCTGGTGCTGGTGATGGTGCTGAGATGTGGTTCCAGAGAGATAGTCATAATCAAGAATCTGTAGGATAACAATTCAACAATAAATATTAACTGTGGAAAACTGTCTCTTACCCAGAGTGAGAATCACTTACAAGCCAGAGTCAAGTCTTCCTGTGAAAGGGATATGCCGGTAAGAACTCCAGTCACATGCAAATTTGCATTTGAAGTGACATGGGGGGTTGATTTAGCAAACCGCCCTTCATCCGGAAAGTAGCACCAAAAGTGAGAAGCCTTCTTGCCAGTGGAAATCCATGGCATGGCATCCATATTGAAGGTGCAAGCATGAACATTGAAAGGACATGCTGCAATGCAGACTACAGGAGGGATTGGCAGTTTCTCATGGGAGAGCAGAAGAAGCTGGCCAAACAATCAGCACTTGCCATCATATTAACTCAGGAAAACATACCACCAAGCAATCCAGCTCAAACTCAAAATCATCTGTATTGAAGCCATCACTGACAGCCATAGAGGTTGTCCTTGATGCAATCTTGGCTGTGATGCTGTATACACCAACTTCCAGCTCCAAAGCTCTGCTGGGCAGGAAATAGTGCAAGATGCCAACCACATCATCAGTCATGAGGATGTTGTTAAGGTTGCCAGCTACAGGTGCCATGGGTAAGGCTACACTGCAGGTTAGAATATGTGAGCCAGCTGAAGATGGATGCCAATCATAGCAACTTGCAATAGCAGTGAGGATAACCAACATGGCAAAAGATTATTGAGGGGATAGAGCAAGGGAGTTCCTCCAGTTTGCCATCCATCTTTATGCAGTAGCTGGTAAACACTTGACTCAGTATTGTGAGACAGGGTACATCTTTGGCAAACATCAGAGACAGTAATCTGTACCACTGCAAAGAAGGACACACAATGAAACACCCCCCACAACAGGCAAGACATGCCAAAGTATCACATGTTACCCTCCCAAATAACCAATCATGTGTGACACCTTCAGACATCCAATGAGATGCCAAACCATGTCTACTATTAACCATACTGAAGTTAGCACCATGGCAATCACAAATCAATCACTGAGAACTGACCAAAAAATGTGAAAGTCTACACTTAGGGAGGTGATGGAAAAATAGGTAGCATGTATCATTGAAGAGGACCATAACACCTAGTCACTATACTAAGCTACTGTCTTTCTATAATCTTTGCAAAGATTGGCATCCATAAGGCCAGAAAACACATACCTAGTTCCCCTAAAGTATGTGGCGTGATGTGCCAAGTGCCTGGTGTTGATAAACAGCAACTGGCCTGGATGAAGTGGGATCTGAATCCCTAGCTGAGGGAGGACAAAATAGGCAGTGGTGAAGTTGCTGAGGACAAACAGGATACTGTACTGATTGCTGTCATCATTTGAATTGATATGGGGCACAGGGGCATGGCCCTCTCTGAAGGCCAGCATGTGCCAGGCACATTGTTGAAGCTGAGGTCTATCAGCCAAAGTATCAGCCAATGCTGGGTGAGAATAGGTCCAGTCCAGGATCCTGCTAAAGTGTTAGGAGTAACCCATCTAAAGCATGTCAAAGGACAAACCTCTTTCTCTCCTCATATACCTCAGGTTGATGACTATGCAACAACCTCATAGCCCTTTTGCCCACCACCATGTCCATAACCTCCAAAAGGACATCCATCCACCTCTTCACCAAAGGATTCTGGTTAACTGAATCTCTGCTAAAGGCAGGCACTGGGCTGGATCTTCTCCAAACACCCAAGTGGAGTCCTGGTACTGATGAGTGACTGAACTCTTCCTCCTGTCTTAGGTAAGACTTGGGAAGTTTTGAGTAGAAGTCTTTGGTGAGGTTGAGCAAGGTGTCCAGATGCTGAGATGGAACACCATCATGAACTCAAAAGAGAGAACAATCTAGTGTCACTCCCTTGAGTAGAGGCTGGGCTGGATTGACCCTGTACACCCAATCACCAGTCTCAGGAGCACAGGGAATGGGTGTAGGAAGGGGGTTGTGCAAGAAGGCAGCCATGAGAGAATCCAAGACCACTGCATTGCTGGAAGGATGTCTGATGAACAGGTCCGGGTAGGAGGGAATAAGTTGAACATCTATCCATCATGTGAGTATACAGGAGATGCAACCCAAAGTATAGCAAGATGAACCATTATCCCCCAAGCCCCTGGTCCGGCACCTCTCAAGCCAACCCATATAGCTGCACAATTTCATCACATCACTCTTGTGCTTTCTCCTCTTGTTACAGGGCAAAGGTCTGTCCGGAGCATCCATATCAGGCACCAGAAGGGAAACATGGGCTGGGTCAGACATGCAGTCCATCCACAACACCCAGAAAACAACAGCAAAGCAAGGACAAATGAAACCACATTGAACAATGAACAGCCCAAAGAGCGGCAGCAAAAAGTTTTACAGGGGGAAGCGCCACCCTAGCACCCTGCCCTGGAGCGGACTGCGTCGCCGGCCTCCCTCGTTACATTCTTTCTAAGTGAGAGAAGGGAGCATCGCCACGAGATGTAAAGAAAGCGAATCGTGCGAAAGGGGGCCGAACATGTCCCCGCTCTCTTGCTATCACCCCAGCATTCGACGCTTTTCCATTCAACGCCGGATTCTGTCCTTGATCTGTAACGCGCAAATCTCCTTCAACGCTGTCTATATCACGCGTTGGTACGCGCTCAACGACCAAGATATATGCTCCTGTGTAGACAACCCCAACAAACCTAGACGCCTCCTCCTGACGACCACAACTGCCATGTCTGCGACTGCATCCGCAATTCCTCTCCCTGTTGCTTCCTCAGGTTCACGTCCACCATCAAGACAGGCCTCGTCACGCCCTTCATCGCGTCTTTCTACTCGCGGCCCACCCTCCCACCTTGGCACACCCCGCACGCCAGAGGCCCGTCCTCCAAGCGCATACAACAGCGGCCGCTCAGCAAAGCGAACTAACAGCCACGAGCAGCTAACGGTGATCGCTGCTGCTGTCAGTGATGGAGAGAGTCATCTTCCCCTGCCAGTAGCAAATGGAAGTGTGAACGGTACGCTGGCTCCACCAGCTAGTATCAAAGAAGGTGTACCGGAGGACTACCTCCTGTCCAGGACGAGAAGTCAAAGCCCGACTCGTTCTATATCCCGTGAGTTCCTCCTATTCCCGTGTCTCTGAACTCGCTCACGCGCGCTTCCTGGGACACAGGCATCCCCGTCAGTTCTGTCGGTGTGTTGTCCCAGTTTGCGAGTCGTGAGAGTAAGACTGACCGCGCATGTAGGGCATGCACGGGCGCTAGCGGAAGATGGCTCGCTCATCGCCAGCACCTCGCTCCCTCAGCGATCTTCATCCCTGGGACCGCTTCCCTCCCCGTCGCTCAACTCTAATGGTGACCCTTTAACCCCCACATCCCTCTCGGGCGACCTCCAACTCTCTCCCTCCCCAAGTTCACCCAATTTTGCAAGCTCTTCTTATCGAATGTCGATGTCCTTGCGCAAGGCGAGCGGAAACGGGAACACCACTAAGGTGCTTGCGGAGCTCCAAGCTGGCGTGAGCAATGCCAGAAACGCGCTAGAAAACACGAAGAACCAGTTGAGGACGAGTCAGCGGCAGGTTGCTCAGGTCAGTGGAGTTTCGACGATGGAGCGACAGCATTGACCAGAGGCTGCATTACAGTTAACGAGACAAAATGAGGATCTAAAGGACGGGAGGGAAAGAATGCGGATTGAAATCGAGAATTTGAACAATGTATGCGTCCCTTTTTTGGTCCCTTGCCATTGTTTTATGTCAATATGTAGGTCGTCGCTCGCAAAGAACGTCTCCTTCAGGAACTTCTGGAGAGAGCACGGAAAGCAGAAGCGGAAGCTCTCGCGCTTAAATCCCAGCTGAAGTCCGAAACGACCGCAAGCAAATCCGCTCTCAAAGACATGGAAAAGCAAGTCTCTGAGGCCACTGCAGTCAGCCAGAAGAGTCATCGTGAATTCATAACTCTCAGCGAAACCGTGAAGAGTATGACTGGGCATTGGAAGGCAGACATGGACGCTGTGCGTAAAGAGATGGCGAAGAGAGAAGAGTTGCACAGACATGAAGTCGATGAATGCACCAAAAAGTCCCAGAATGTGATAAAACTTGTCCAAGCGTCGAAGTGCGTATCTTCCGAGGTATCTCAAAGTCCGAGACATTGACTTGGCATTAGATCGGAACGAGCACAGCTGGATGCCCTGAAGCGAGAGGCTTACACAGCGAACCAGGGCCTTGCAACACTGCTGAAGCCGCACATGGACAAGCTACTCCAAACCTCCTCTAGATCTGACGCCAACTCCGCCGAAGCCCTCAAGATTGCACAGTATGTTATTTTCTCGAGCTCACTACTTCTGCGCATTTGCTGAATCTGTCTCCCCAGAGATATACAGGCCGAACTGGCCCGAATTCGCCGGTTGATGCGTGTTGGTCACGGGCCTACACCTTCCGTTTCAGGTTTCTCCAGCTCTATACATCCTTCGCCTGCAACACCGGACCTCGCCTCGATCTCCGAATAATTTCCCATCGCAGCTTTGGCCTCAAGGTCGGCCGTGCTGTCCGGCTTTGATTGCTCTGCTTCATCTAATGACCCTGCATCACTCCGGCCCGCAGTTCGGGCGCCTACGATACCGTTTTCCATATTCCACGTTACATCCGTTCGCCTTCTCCAATTCGTTCCTCATCTATCGTTACCTGGGAAGCGCGCAGGCCGCTCGCATATCTGGTACATGACCATGTCGGTATATTCAGTGTAATTTTATCGCACGATCCGTCTTCGTCCTTTCTTCAGGGTGGAGTTGCACTTGGACAGGTCACGATGACCTCGAAAGTGTTCCGGGTCGACCATGGCTCCTATTCTCATAGTGGACGCATGCTCGCAACTCCTGGACTAACCGGTAATGGTAACGGAGAAAGGGGCTGGAAAATCACGTCCCTCGAAGTCGTATGCTTACTGCCCCTCATGACCAACTCAGTGCTTCGTCTGCGATTGTTCCGTCTTCAACAGTCCATCAGGGTATGTCGTCGCCATCCGAAGCAGGAGGGCAGTATCAAGTACGTTGGCGTTGGGTGATGCCTCTAGCAAAGCCGATCAAAATCCAATCTCTATGTGGTTACACATGCTGTGCCTTGTCTCGGTGCTTGAAAACGTTCGCAGATCCGGTTATGCAACGGCTGCACCTGACGATGGTAATTCTACCGCGTTGTTTGGTGTGAGTATCAGCAAAATTGAGAGATCGCGACAGGCAAAGCTGTTCCTGTGTGTGTGTCTGTACCATAGCTTCAGTGAAGTTTATACGGCAGGCCACGGATCTCGCTGATACCCTGCTATTTCTGTATGTGACTGGTGAACAATCGCGACCGCGCGGTCTCGGCGCCGCGGCAGATCGGCGATATCTCACAAAGGCCGCATGGTCCCCAACCCTATGCCTTGTCTCGTTTCTACGTCGAATTCCCTTGCACTAACTCGACTTGGTTTTGAACATCATCGCCTCTCGCCGGAGTTAAACCCGGGCAAATAATAGTCGTAGACAGGTTGCTATGCATTCTCCTTTGAGATTCTACCCCGCATTGACGCCTTTTCATGATAGATGCTTCTATCTAGGTACAACCGACACATTTTCCCTGGAATGCAGCGGTCCCGGTTCGGAATCTGGTAATAACCGGCATTAAAGTTCATCACCACTTCATTCCAGCTCACAACATGCCATGCATATCGCCTCGTATGATGCATCATGTGTCCTAGTCAACCGCCCTGGGGAGAGCTTCGATCCCCGTGATCGTGCCGAACACACATACTGGTCGTCTCATCCCTTCGTTCGAGCACTATGCACTGCACATGTTCACCCCTCCGTCGGTGGCGGGCGCCGTTGTCCTCACCTTCTCTTTTCCTGACCTCTCGCCTGTGCATGATTGTGAGATACCCCGATGGCAGCTAGCGCTCCATACGGTCTCCGGTTCTCGCCCTGGACACGGTGCCGGTGCCTCTGTACTGTCTTTGCCAGCCAAGGCATTGTCCGGTCACTAGAAGCATTTCACAAGGTATAAGAGCAAGCAGCAAATGTGCAGGTCAAGGACACAAGTCTTTTGAGGTTCAAGGCTCGACATGCTCAGTTTCTTCGCGTCTGTTGCTGGATTTATCTTGGCCGCCTATGCTTCCCCTCTAGCACGGCAAGGCATATCGACCATATCGCAGTCAACCATCGCGTCTTACAGTCCGTACACGCAATTCGCCCGTGCTGCTTATTGCCCAGGTACTGCTACCTGGACCTGCGGTGCGGCTTGCACCGCGAACAGCGGCTTCGTGCCGTACGTGACCGGAGGTGACGACAGCGACACGCCTTACTTCTTTGTCGGTTACTGGCCGAGCGGCAAGGCGGCTGTTGTGGCCCATGAAGGAACGGATCCTACGCAATTCCTGAGTGAGTGTTTCGCTCACCTTCAAAGCCGAATGCTGACCAGAAACAGGCTTGTTGGTCGATGCTGATTGTAAGCGGATGCAATCACTTCTCTCCGAACACGGTTCTGATCATGATATGCTATCAGTTTTCTTAGAAGATCTTGATACCACACTATTCCCAGGTATCAGCAGCAGTATTCAGGCGCACAGCGGCTTCCTTGGCGCGCATTCTCGGAGTGCGGCCTCAGTCCTTTCCGCTGTGCAACAGGTTATCAGCGATCACGGTGTGAGCGAAGTTATCACTGTGGGCCACTCCCTCGGTTCGTACCCTTCTATTACTAGTTGTATATGCATGTTAACCCAGTTGCGAAGGAGGAGCAATCGCCTTGCTGGATGCGGTATACCTTCCCCTCCATCTCCCATCCTCGATAATCGTTCGTTCGGTACTCTTTGGCCTCCCGCGAGTGGGTAATCCGGCATTCGCGTCCTATGTCGACGCGCACCTCAGCATTGTTCACATTACCAACATGCTTGATCCTATCCCTATCGTACCAGGGGAGTTCCTGGGTTTTGCCCAGCCTCAAGGAGAGGTGCATATCCTTGGAGGGACCGATTGGGTGTCTTGCCCCGGGGACGATAATTCGAGTGTGGATTGCTCAACCGGAGGTACGTGGCCCCTCTGTGCATTTTACGTGTGTTGCTCAATTTGGCTGCCCAGCTGTCCCAACAATCTTTACAAGTGACATTGTGGATCATCTTGGGCCATACAACGGCATCTGGATCGGGACCCTCTATTGCTAATTATGGACTCTCCCTCATTTTTGTCTCTACCTTGGGTTTGTTTGGCAAATTTGGATGTTTTCGTACATGGACTGTACTTTATGTGGGCGGACGGCGGTGATCATCTCCGAGGGTGCGGGGTTCGAGCCAATTTTGAGGATGTTTCCCTTTCTTCGACAAACGTCATCCTGTATTGCTATTGCTTGAAATTACATTGCTGAAAGGTTTGATGTGAAGTGGGATCTATGTTCCCGCAAACGCAATTCAAATCTGGACCATGGGAAGCGGGTTCAGTATGATCTTCGCATTCGAAAAACCAGAACCGTCAGCTGGGATCCCAATAAACTGGTTCAATAGAGACACTAGCTAGGCGCAGCGTTCATTGACGAGGCTTGAAAAGTAAGCATACCCCAACCAAGGCTGCCGAAACGAAACAGTGGTAGAGTAGAGGTCTCACATCACGTGCGAACAAATTAAACGCCCTACGGGCGTCAACATACGATCCAAGACCCTGCACGTATTTGCTTTTATACCGCGACCATTTAGACCCGACTCTGCTCATGAACCAGTTCTAACTTGCCCTGGAACCGGAAGAGAGCCAAACAAAACCTGTACTCCCGAAATATCTCGGAGCGCTGAACTCGAACTGAACTGAAAGAGCCATCCCTACTGTCGGCAGCAGATTTTTCTAAACTCCCAGCTCCTGGCTAACACACCGGACTTGAACGTTTCAGTGGCTCTCAAAGCTACAGCATGCGAGTGGCGGATGTCACACAGTGGACAGGGTCGTGGCCAGCATGGGATTCCTTGGAGAGGGGGAATCGTGCCTCTCCTTCCGGTCCCCAGCTCCTTTGAGTTCTAGACCGGACTGGCGCTTATCCTATCCGTATATCTGGGATGTCTTGTCCTCCTTGCCACCCAGAACATTATCTGGCTGTAATAGATCCTTATCAAAGGTATTTAAACAAGCAAGCGACATTCATTTCATCAAACAAAACACTCAACTGCTACCTACCTCATACCTGAACGTTCGACATGTTCCGCCCCGCCGCCTCTATTGCTGGTCTCATCACCCCAAGGTATATCGACCGTGGTACTGTCGACTATCTCGTCTTACAGCCCATACACGCAATTTGCGAGGGCAGCTTATTGTCACGGCACCAATACCTGGAGCTGCGAGGAAGCGTGTGCAGCGAACAGCGATTTTAGGGTATACGTGACAGGAGGTGACGACAGCGATACACCAGACTTCTTTGTTGGTTATTGGCCCACCGGTAATGCTGCCATTGTGGCTCATGAGGGTACGGATCCTTTACAATTATTAAGTAAGCCCCTCGTCTACCATTGGAAGCGACGAGCTAATCTGAGCCAGGCTTATTGGTGGATACGCAGTGTACGCCGGAGCGATGATTCTTGCGAGACACAATCTTTATTCACGCTTTACTATTAGTGTTCTTGGAGCGTCCTGATTCTGTTTTGTTCCCAGGCCTGAACAGCGCCATTCAGGCACACACCGGTTTTCTTGGCGCTCACTCTCGGAGTGCGGGGGTAGTACTTTCCGCTGTGCAGAAAGTCATCAGCGAGCATAATGTGACCGAGGTCATCACTGTCGGCCACTCCCTGGGGATGCTACATACCATTGCTGGTTGTTGATGGGTATTGATCGTATTGCATAGGAGGTGCGATTACCCTGCTGGACGCGGTGTACCTTCCTCTCCATCTCCCCTCGACGATAACCGTTCGTTCGGTGCTCTTCGGCCTGCCGCGTGTAGGAAACCCTGCATTCGCATCATATGTCGACGAGCACCTTAATGTTGTGCATATTACCAATAAACTCGATCCAATCCCCATCGTTCCTGGCGAGTTTCTAGGGTATGCCCAAGCACATGGGGAGGTGCACATCCTTGGCGGGACCGATTGGGTGTCTTGCCCAGGGGACGATAATTCCAGTGCGGATTGCTCAACTTCAGGTGCGCAACCTCTCTATTGACCTGAAGTCACCGTATTGATTGCATTGTCCAGCTGTGCCTACACTTCTGACAGGCAATATAATGGACCATCTTGGCCCCTATAATGGAATCTGGATCGGGAATATCTTTTGCCAATAATGCGTCCGGCCTTTATTTTGTAGCGTGTATGCGAAAGCCAACGGAAAGAGTATATGAATCATGGATCTTGTTGAGACTGCCTGTTGTAGAAGTACTGGAACAGAAGTAATTCTTTTTTTGTAGGCGTCATTCTGGAACATCGACTGAAGATGGTTGTGCATGACGCCCAGATACTTCAGTCGCCTTAGATCATCCTACCCGCTATACAACCGTAAAATGAGATAATCCTATGACGCATATAAGCCACTGTTCAGGGATATCCTAGTGATTAATCCTCGATAATCTCGCGATTAACTCAAGATAAATGAGGATTATCCAACGTTTCGTTACCTTCAGCACTATCACACCCACACCAGTCAATGTCCATCATCCTCGAGCACATGTCAGGCGACAGATGATTACATTGAATGTGACTAAGTACTTCTACCACAATGTAAGAGAATTGCATCTGTAGCAACATGAGTGTTCGTAGAGTGGAATATACGTTCCACTCACCCTTGACCACCTCCGCTGCCCCACGCCCTCCCTCCTCAGTCCACGTCCGCCCCATCCTTAGCTGCTGTTGAACGCCCCCGGGAAAAGTTTACCGCAGCTGGGAACGTTCAATGTCTTCTGCACGAACTTGAAAAAGTCGAAAGGCAGTTTGCTTTGGTTGGCTTGATGGACATGCACCATATTGTTGTTGAAAGAGTTGCTGTGGCTGCCTTGAAGGCTATAAGCGGGCGTCTGAACACCTACTAATCATCAAGAACGTCTCGAACCAATAATTGAACATCAATGTACCCGAACCCGTCTGCACCGCATGAGCCATGATCAGCAAGTAGTCCAACGTTCGTTGAGACCTTTGTACAACACGCTGTGCCTCCCAGACCTCATCCCTTGCCATCTGAACCGCCTCGTGCCCGCGAACCGTCCCGTCGGAGATGTGGTTAGCGTGCACCAGATTTTGGTACACATCGACATGGCGTAGGTGGGCTTGAGCCGCTTGGTGGCGAGTGTTTGCGAGTTCAATGCCCAAGTTGATCAGTCCGGTAGCCTGCGAGCCAAGATGAACGTTGGGTGGGGAGGCGAGGGCTGGTGAGGCGATGGATCCACCAAATGCCACAAAAAATTGAGGAGCTGTGCCGACAGTAGTCATATGGGAGGCACCGGGAGAGGACATGATGGAGTACATTGTTCCCAAGGGGATCGACTGAGGATAGCCACCTCCGTAGTGGTACATGTTCATGGCCAAGTTAGCGATGAGGGAGTTGGAGTTGATGAAGTCGGTTAGGGTTAATGCTGAGGACGTTTAGTGCGGGTTGAGCGTTGACTGAATGTCCGAGACTTGTGAAAGTTGACACGCGGGCAGAAGCAGACCATGTGGGGAATGCCACCTCTTTCCACATCGGGATCCCTGATGTCTGTCCTCAGCACATCAGTGATATTGTTCGCACACTGAGCACTCACCTAAAGACTTGTTCACCCTCACCCCACCCTCCTCGCCTGTGCTCCCTCGACATGTCTTGTCCTCGCAAACCATCACCTGATCCCACCCGCCCGGTAGTCGACCTGCGCGTCACTTTGACCATCATCACACCAAATCAGGCAGACCTTCTTTGATCAATCTGAATTCGATGACGTTTTCCGATAATGATCAAGGCGACATGGCAACTCATGCTAAGCATATACATCAACAACTGCTTTCGGTCAGTTTCAATTCAATATTTCTTTGGATGAAGCAGACTTTACTTCGTGACCTCCTCTTCATCTTGCTCCATCCAACGTCATTGGCTTTATCCTGCCAACGTCCAGACTCGCACGCATCCACCTCATCATTCAGCCGAATCCATGTCCTCCTTATCCAGACCTTTTAATTACGTTAGGCTTCTCTTTCGCGTGCAAAAACCGGATGACGTACCCGCTATCATTCCACGCCTGTTGACACAGTCTCTGTATGACTTTGCCTGCCCACTGGGGGCAGCAAGTGCAAAGGGTTAAAGGAGGAGGTTGGTCATTGCTTGGTGAAAGTGCGTTAACATTGGGATCCCCAACATGTGTACTGGCAACATGGAAGCAGGTTCTATTTCCATCTACTTCCGCTCACGCGCCCATGACGCCATTCTCAGGGTTCAGCACGTGCATCTGGCTCAAAATATTATTGTTGAAACCACAAACTAAATTAAAGGCAAACAGTCTCCAGCTGGCCCACGGACACATCAAGGTATATACCATAGATGAATTTGAAGTTTGAAAAATATAGACATTCAAACCTTCCCTTGACCATTCAGATTGTCAAATTGATCACATCATCATCCCTCCACCACTGAGGATCTGGGTGAGATCACTTCACTGGGTGCCCCTGTCTTCCTCTGTCTCCCATGTGATTTTCAGGATTGTGTTTCCCCAGCATGCTTGTTGAGCTGGGTCCTTTTGGTGTCAGGCCATTCTTGAAGGTTTTTGGCATTTCCACAGGTTCAACCTGGCCAGTAGGGCCACTGGTGCATCTGTACACTCATATAGGTCACCTTTGGGCCTTGGCATCACTGCCTATGTCCTCCTAATCAGCATGTTGAATCTTTTTGTATGGGATGTAGCCACATACTGATTGGAGTCTTTTCAAATCTCGAGTTACATGTTGCAATGCTTATCAAGTCACAGAGGATAGAATGCAGACTAGCAAACTCAAATACAATCTCACCACCAGAGATGTCTCAAATGATGCTATCTCTGCTTCTCAGGAGCAAGGTGCATTCCCCTACCAAAGAGAAGGTATCTCCCCAAGTTACTGCTATCCACTGGCCACTGGTGGCACAGTACCATTGCAAACTAGCCGTATTGAGCCCAAAGCACTTGTTGAACACCTGATGATCTTGGAGTGGGTTGAATCTTGCATTTTTTCCCATGTGCCACTTGGCTGGCTCAATGAAGCCCTTGATGCTATGAGTCAATTACATTCAAGCATTCTCAGTACAAATACTCACAGACATCCAGAAATATACCATTGGTAATGCCTTCCATGCTGTTGACATGCACTTTAAATCAGGCTGTAACATTATTGGACTCTTCAGGGCTGGCCCAGGCTCTCATTTCATCTTGTCCAATGCCTCTCTCTTCATATTGAAGCTTCTCTCACACTTCAGCACTAGATTTGGTGTAGATGTCAAGGAGATTGGCAATGTTAGGGCAACACAGGCTGACTAAGTCTGCTCACCTAAGAGTGCCAAGAGTCTAAGCAGGCAACAAGGAAGTGGAGTAGACCTGATGACTAAGACCTATCTACAGTATAGGTACCTGTGGATGATCCTAAGAGACCAACTCTGAAGAGACAGTCCCCAGGCAGAGTAGGCCTTATATTTATATCTCTGTGGTGGAACCTGCTAGAACATCTTGCTTACTCAGCCTAGTCAGGTGATCAGGTCATATG